ACGTCACGTGGTGCTCAATCTTCTGCCCTATTGGCCAGTAATCGAGTTCAAAGGTCAAATGGTTCACTTTAGGTATTTGATCAGATGTACCCAGTCATCAAATGTCACAATGAGATTGACAAGTCTCGCCTAGATCGATCAAGTCTCATTATCGTACGCACTTTTTTTTCTCGGGAACTGACACAGATACGTTACTGTGTGGCGTACTGATACACAACTCGGTGAACTGATACACAACTGGCACTACTTTTGTAGCTTCACGCTGGTGTAAACACATTTCTTACTGTGTGGCGTACTGATACACAACTGGCACTACTTTTGTAGCAGCTCTGACACAGCCATATTTCGCTGTGCTGATTTCAAAAACAAGTCACGTGACACTCCCGACGATCAAAATCTCGTGCCCGTGTGTTTAATTAATTTAAAAAAAGTAATTGTCCCTCCGAGAGCCAGTCCAACAATGGCCGTATCAAATCTCTGGCCCATCAGTCATGGGATGAACTGATCCCCGCTCTTAGATCCGCTGCCATATATTATTCATACTCCATCTAGCTCCGGCCTGCCTCCAGCCCTCCCCCCCCCCCTCCACCAAATCCAGCCCTAAGCCTGCCCGGATGTTCAAGATCGAGTCTGGTTGCCATGGTGAATGCGCCGCCATCTTTAATTGTTTATAAAATTCTGCGAGGGGTTTTTGGCTGTCAAAGATCTCTCACCAAGTTGTGGTCAAGTTTATGACGTCATAGGTTTGGCTTGGGGTCAGTCAACTTGAGGGGTGAGACGGTGTGACGTCATCATGTGTGGTCGTCTCCTGGTCAAGGCGTGACCTCTCGTATAACTTTGAGATCTCGTTGGATTTGTATGAGATTTTTCCCATCTTTAAAATCTTGTGATGGAAAACAGATACCCTCAGACCAAAAATGACACCCTGAGACCAGATGACACCATAAATCCAAATGACACCGTCAGACCAAATCACATCATTGTACCAGATGACACCCTTAGACCAAATGACACCCTCAGACCAAATGACACCATCAGAGAGCTAAGCCCGCAGTGAAGCGATGCCAAGATGAAAAGTGGGTATTACGTCACCACCGGAAGTCGAGGAATTCTGGGAGAAAATGGTGAGAGGGGAAAAAACTCTGGCCTCAAAGGAAGTCACGCAGACGAATCAATCCCATAATTCCGTGTGATCATCTTCTGACTCTAGCCAGAGATCAAGTCATGTTCTGGGGAGAGCGGGCATAAGGCAGGGACAGATTCTTCTCTGTCAGTGGGCATTAGGGCAGAGAGAGATTCTTCTGTCAGCGGGCATTAGGGCAGGGAGAGATACTATGCAAACGGGCATAAGGACAGAGATAAATTCTTCATTAGGGCAGGGACTTGTTTCTCTCCTTTAAAGATATTCGTTTGTTTGTCTGATATTAAGAAGAGTCCACTCCAAACTAAGCCCTTTTTCAGTAGCGACTACCATCAATTCCAGACTGCCGTAATTACTTACCTAATCAAGCAGGGCATATACGTTGTTGAGTACTTTCAAGTTGACTACAAGTAGATGGTCGGGACATCTTCAAACGGCACAATCAAGAAATCATATTTTGGTCAGTCTAACGACTAAATACTTTGGTTAGTCTAACGACCAAATACTTTGGTCAGTCTAACGACCGTATCCTCTCATCAAATATTTTGGTCAGTCTAATGACCGTATCCTCCCAGAAAGCCTGACTTACGTTTTGCAAGCTGGCATTTTTTAAGTGGATTTTTTTCTCATGGCCCGAAAAATGGCCACGCCGTGGATTAGTTGGATTAGGTTTGGATTAGCCTTATTTAACGTCTCCGGCGCTCAGCCAATTATTTTTCTCGCGGCCCGGCAGTTAACCAGACTTGACGGCAATGTGTTTTTTAAGTGTACACAATAATATTTTTACTACACGGCAGCCATTTTAAACATACGCATAAATATTTCTGGTAATTAGAAAACTGCTTATTAAAAATGTTTTGAGTATGAAATAAGAAACAAGTTTAATTTTTTTTTCTAAACAAATTCGCAGATGTTTCTTTTCCTGTTGGGATTTTGCCAGCGAACAAATCACACATTCCTGATGGTGAGTAGATTCGGTTGTCTGACGGTCTGTTTAGTCTGTCTGTCTGTCTGTCTGTTTAGCATGTCTGTTTATCTTTCTGTCTGTCGGTCTGTCTGTCTATATATTTGATTTCTTCTATCATTGATTCTTTGTGAGACGTCTATCTGTTTTGGTGTCTGTTTGTTTGTTTGTCTTCCCGTGTGTGTGTCCATGTCGGCTGGTCCATGACGTGTTGACCATAACCAAGGGTGAGTACAGTCCCCTGCCAGAGCACGAGGTTCCCCCAGGTACACGACGACAGGTAGAACTGAGAGCTAATTGTTGTCTTAAAACTTTTGTCTAATTATTGGTGAGTTTCAAACAATGTTTTAGTCAAGGCAGACAAGTGTTTAAAGTCTGGTAACTCCAGGTAACTAAACGACATTTGTTATTATTGCACACATATATGTCTATTATTTCCCTTCCTACACTTGTTCAGTGTGTACGCATGTAACAGCTCCAATTAGAATGAATTTCAAATATTCACGAAAAAAAAAATGTTCGTCCGTCTTTGATGTAACACTGACAACAACAAAATTGATCGATTGATGGGAGAAAAAAATTAAACAAGGGACGTAATCGCGAGAATTAATTCCCTTTTTTTTCCAACAGATGAGAACGCCATCTGGGTGGGTCACTCGCCCAACGTGTTCATGGAGCGGCTGGTCAACATGGAGTCGCTCGAGACGCCCATGTACATCACCAACAACGTCCAGGGGCTGGACTTCGCCTGGCCCCGACTGTCCGGCCTTGACATTGCCGTGAGCATCTCCGGCGTGTTCCTGATCCCCAACTACCGTGACCTTGAAGCCGTGGACGACACGGCGCTGTTCATGTTGCTACAGGACAACAGTCAGGACATGAAGGACAAGTACAAGTTTGTACAGAAACATTTCTGCAGGTAGGTGGGCATATGTGGGGGGGGGGGGGGGGCACATGAAGGACAAGTACAAGTTTGTACAGAAACATTTCTGCAGGTAGGTGGGCATATGTGGGGGGGGGGGGGGGCACATGAAGGACAAGTACAAGTTTGTACAGAAACATTTCTGCAGGTAGGAGGGCATATGTGGGGGGGGGGGGCACATGAAGGACAAGTACAAGTTTGTACAGAAACATTTCTGCAGGTAGGTGGGCATATGCAGGGGGGGGGGGGTTCTTTCAGGTAGGCGGGCACGAGTAGGGGTGGGGCACATGTAAGGCAGTGAGTCTGACTTCCCCTCCCTCCCCAGACTAAACCTTCTCCCCTCCCTCCCCAGACTAAACCTTCTCCCCTCCCTCCCCAGACTAAACCTCCTCCCCTCTCTCCCCAGACTAAACCTCCTCCCCTCCCTCCCCAGACTAAACCTCCCCTCCCTCCCCAGACTAAACCTTCTCCCCTCCCTCCCCAGACTAAACCTCCCCTCCCTCCCCAGACTAAACCTTCTCCCCTCCCTCCCCAGACTAAACCTTCTCCCCTCCCTCCCTCCCCAGACTAAACCTTCTCCCCTCCCTCCCTCCCCAGACTAAACCTTCTCCCCTCCCTCCCCAGACTAAACCTTCTCCCCTCCCTCCCTCCCCAGACTAAACCTTCTCCCCTCCCTCCCCAGGCACCCAGTACCAGACTAAACCCTCTCCCCTCCCTCCCCAGGCACCCAGTACCAGACTAAACCCTCTCCCCTCCCTCCCCAGGCACCCAGTACCAGACTAAACCCTCTCCCCTCCCTCCCCAGGCACCCAGTACCAGACTAAACCTTCTCCCCTCCCTCCCCAGGCACCCAGTACCAGACTAAACCTTCTCCCCTCCCTCCCCAGGCACCCAGTACCAGACTAAACCCTCTCCCCTCCCTCCCCAGGCACCCAGTACCAGACTAAACCCTCTCCCCTCCCTCCCCAGACTAAACCTTCTCCCCTCCCTCCCCAGACTAAACCCTCTCCCCTCCCTCCCCAGGCACCCAGTACCAGACTAAACCCTCTCCCCTCCCTCCCCAGGCACCCAGTACCAGACTAAACCCTCTCCCCTCCCTCCCCAGACTAAACCTTCTCCCCTCCCTCCCCAGACTAAACCTTCTCCCCTCCCTCCCCAAGCACCTAGTACCAGACTAAACCCTCTCCCCTCCCTCCCCAGACTAAACCTTCTCCCCTCCCTCCCCAGACTAAACCCTCTCCCCTCCCTCCCCAGGCACCCAGTACCAGACTAAACCCTCTCCCCTCCCTCCCCAGACTAAACCTTCTCCCCTCCCTCCCCAGACTAAACCTTCTCCCCTCCCTCCCCAGGCACCCTGTACCAGACTAAACCCTCTCCCCTCCCTCCCCAGGCACCCAGTACCAGACTAAACCCTCTCCCCTCCCTCCCCAGGCACCCAGTACCAGACTAAACCTTCTCCCCTCCCTCCCCAGGCACCCTGTACCAGACTAAACCTTCTCCCCTCCCTCCCCAGGCACCCAGTACCAGACTAAACCCTCTCCCCTCCCTCCCTCCCCAGGCACCCAGTACCAGACTAAACCCTCTCCCCTCCCTCCCCAGACTAAACCTTCTCCCCTCCCTCCCCAGGCACCCAGTACCAGACTAAACCTTCTCCCCTCCCTCCCTCCCCAGGCACCCTGTACCAGACTAAACCTTCTCCCCTCCCTCCCCAGGCACCCAGTACCAGACTAAACCCTCTCCCCTCCCTCCCTCCCCAGGCACCCAGTACCAGACTAAACCCTCTCCCCTCCCTCCCTCCCCAGGCACCCTGTACCAGACTAAACCTTCTCCCCTCCCTCCCCAGGCACCCAGTACCAGACTAAACCTTCTCCCCTCCCTCCCCAGGCACCCTGTACCAGACTAAACCTTCTCCCCTCCCTCCCCAGGCACCCAGTACCAGACTACTACTACCTACAGCTGGAGGTGATCGCTAACAGGACGGCCAAGGCCCAGGTGGTCATGTGTGACTCGCATGACGTCACGGTGCCACGCTGTCCCCCACACCACAAGGACGGCACCAGGTACCTGCAGTGGGACATCAGCCAGCCCTGCCCCTTCATCAACACTGTAAGTTATCAACAGCAACACTGTAAGTTATCAACAGCAACGCTGTAAGTTATCAACAGCAACGCTGTAAGTTATCAACAGCAACGCTGTAAGTTATCAACAGCAACGCTGTAAGTTATCAACAGCAACAACGTGTGATCAGCCGTGTGACGATGTTTGTCCATCCACCTCTAGAGCCAACGGTTTGACAAGTATTGTTTAGGTTAGGTACCATGTGATCAGCTGTATAGCCGTGTGAAGATGTTTTTCCATCCACCTCTAGAGCCAACGGTTTGACAAGGTGACTGGCGGCCGCAACAGTGTCGTTTGCACGGAGGAGACGGAACTGCTGCGCAAGGTGTTCCAGAGTTCAAGGCCAACGACCCAGGAGTACATGTTCCCCTCCCAGGAGTGTACCAGCAGCCAGAGGGAGTGCAGCCAGTGTCTGGAGGCGTCACAGTGTAGGGAGAACAGGAACAATGTCAACGTCTGTAAGTCCTGGTCCTCATGTCCTGATGTCCCATGTCCTTATGTCCTGGTCCATGTTCTCATGTCCTGGTCCATCTTCCAGTGTAGAATTTATTTGCTATCAGTGCTCATTAGACTATGGGTAAAAACATTAAGATGAGAATTCTCTTTCAGCCTACCTCCATGATAAATTAAGATGAGAATTCTCTTTCAGCCTACCTCCATGATAAATTAAGATGAGAATTCTCTTTCAGCCTACCTCCATGATAAATTAAGATGAGAATTCTCTTTCAGCCTACCTACATGATAAATTAAGATGAGAAATTTATTTCAGCCTACCTCCATGACAAGTACTGTTGTGGCATCAGTTGCTACACCAAAAGTCACTGCCAGAAATATTACAGTCCTGCATGTCCTCCACCCAAAGTTGAGTGCGGATTAGGTGAGTACACATTTGAACCTGTGTTATATATTACTAGTGTGTTGATAAATTCCCCCCCCCCCCCAGTCAGTACCACAACACCCCCTCCCCCTCTGGTCAACTGTCTGTACCCCTCTTTGAGAATACATATTATCCATAATCCATTCCCTTAACTAATACCTAACCCATGTTATATTATACCTTTAACCATCTTTCTCCCAGGAATGCTGTTTTATTATCTGGTAAAAAAAAATTAAAATCAAGTTTACGAGGAACGTTTTTATAATAATATTAAGGAAATACTAACATTAAATTTGACAGCAAATGTTAACATTGTATTGACAGAGAATTTTGACATTGTATTGACGTTGAATGTCAACATTGTATCGACAGCAAATGTTACCATTGTATTGACAGGTGATGTGAACATATTCTCCCTGTACCCAAACTTTGATTCGATGACGCACCAGTTCGCCTGCCACCTGAAGTACGAACCACCACAGCAACTGTACAGCATCAGCTACACCATCCGCGCACCATCCATCAACCTCAACATCACACCACAAAACTTTACCGTCAGCTCCAGGTCTAGGGAGGATCATGAGAAGCGGCTGTCCAGGTGGGTAGACTGCTGTCCTGTCCAGGTGGGTAGACTGCTGTCCTGTCCTGTCCAGGTGGGTAGACTGCTGTCCTGTCCAGGTGGGTAGACTGTTGTCCTGTCATGTCCAGGTGGGTAGACTGTTGTCCTGTCCAGGTGGGTAGACTGCTGTCCTGTCCAGGTGGGTAGACTGCTGTCCTGTCCAGGTGGGTAGACTGCTGTCCTGTCCTGTCCAGGTGGGTAGACTGTTGTCCTGTCCAGGTGGATAGACTGTTGTCCTGTCCAGGTGGGTAGACTGCTGTCCTGTCCAGGTGGGTAGACTGCTGTCCTGTCCTGTCCAGGTGGGTAGACTGCTGTCCTGTCCTGTCCAGGTGGGTAGACTGTTGTCCTGTCCTGTCCAGGTGGGTAGACTGTTGTCCTGTCCTGTCCAGGTGGGTAGACTGTTGTCCTGTCCTGTCCAGGTGGGTAGACTGCTGTCCTGTCCTGTCCAGGTGGGTAGACTGCTGTCCTGTCCTGTCCAGGTGGGTAGACTGCTGTCCTGTCCTGTCTAGGTGGGTAGACTGCTGTCCTGTCTAGGTGGGTAGACTGTTGTCCTGTCCAGGTGGGTAGACTTTTGTCCTGTCCAGGTGGGTAGACTGCTGTCCTGTCCTGTCCAGGTGGGTAGACTGCTGTCCTGTCCTGTCCTGGTGGGTAGACTGTTGTCCTGTCCAGGTGGGTAGACTGCTGTCCTGTCCTGTCCAGGTGGGTAGACTGTTGTCCTGTCCAGGTGGGTAGACTGTTGTCCTGTCCAGGTGGGTAGACTGCTGTCCTGTCCAGGTGGGTAGACTGTTGTCCTGTCCTGGTGGGTAGACTGTTGTCCTGTCCTGTCCAGGTGGGTAGACTGTTGTCCTGTCCAGGTGGGTAGACTGTTGTCCTGTCCAGGTGGGTAGACTGCTGTCCTGTCCAGGTGGGTAGACTAGCTACTGCTGTCCTGTCCAGGTGGGTAGACTGTTGTCCTGTCCTGTCCAGGTGGGTAGACTGCTGTCCTGTCCAGGTGGGTAGACTGTTGTCCTGTCCTGGTGGGTAGACTGTTGTCCTGTCCAGGTGGGTAGACTGCTGTCCTGTCCAGGTGGGTAGACTGCTGTCCTGTCCAGGTGGGTAGACTGTTGTCCTGTCCAGGTGGGTAGACTGTTGTCCTGTCCTGGTGGGTAGACTGTTGTCCTGTCCTGTCCAGGTGGGTAGACTGCTGTCCTGTCCAGGTGGGTAGACTGTTGTCCTGTCCAGGTGTGTAGACTGTTGTCCTGTCCTGGTGGGTAGACTGTTGTCCTGTCCTGTCCAGGTGGGTAGACTGTTGTCCTGTCCAGGTGGGTAGACTGTTGTCCTTGCCAGGTGGGTAGACTGTTGTCCTGTCCAGGTGGGTAAACTGTTGTCCTGTCCAGGTGGGTAGACTGCTGTCCTGTCCAGGTGGGTAGACTGTTGTCCTGTCCAGGTGGGTAGACTGTTGTCCTGTCCAGGTGGGTAGACTGCTGTCCTGTCCAGGTGGGTAGACTGCTGTCCTGTCCTGTCCTGGTGGGTAGACTGTTGTCCTGTCCAGGTGGGTAGACTGTTGTCCTGTCCAGGTGGGTAGACTGTTGTCCTGTCCAGGTGGGTAGACTGCTGTCCTGTCCAGGTGGGTAGACTGTTGTCCTGTCCAGGTGGGTAGACTGTTGTCCTGTCCAGGTGGGTAGACTGCTGTCCTGTCCAGGTGGGTAGACTGCTGTCCTGTCCTGTCCAGGTGGGTAGACTGCTGTCCTGTCCAGGTGGGTAGACTGTTGTCCTGTCCAGGTGGGTAGACTGTTGTCCTGTCCAGGTGGGTAGACTGCTGTCCTGTCCAGGTGGGTAGACTGCTGTCCTGTCCAGGTGGGTAGACTGTTGTCCTGTCCAGGTGGGTAGACTGTTGTCCTGTCCAGGTGGGTAGACTGTTGTCCTGTCCAGGTGGGTAGACTGTTGTCCTGTCCAGGTGGGTAGACTGTTGTCCTGTCCAGGTGGGTAGACTGCTGTCCTGTCCAGGTGGGTAGACTGCTGTCCTGTCCTGTCCAGGTGGGTAGACTGTTGACCTGTCCAGGTGGGTAGACTGTTGACCTGTCCAGGTGGGTAGACTGTTGTCCTGTCCAGGTGGGTAGACTGTTGTCCTGTCCTGTCCAGGTGGGTAGACTGCTGTCCTGTCCAGGTGGGTAGACTGCTGTCCTGTCCAGGTGGGTAGACTGTTGTCCTGTCCAGGTGGGTAGACTGCTGTCCTGTCCAGGTGGGTAGACTGTTGTCCTGTCCAGGTGGGTAGACTGTTGTCCTGTCCAGGTGGGTAGACTGCTGTCCTGTCCAGGTGAAGTAGACTAGCTACTGCTGTCCTGTCCAGGTGGGTAGACTGCTGTCCTGTCCAGGTGGGTAGACTGTTGTCCTGTCCAGGTGGGTAGACTGTTGTCCTGTCCAGGTGGGTAGACTGCTGTCCTGTCCAGGTGAAGTAGACTAGCTACTGCTGTCCTGTACAGGTGAAGTAGACTAGCTACTGCTGTCCTGTCAGTAGCCTGTTCAGTAGTGAGGACTTTGAAACTAACATGTTCAACCAAGGACTGAAAAGATTTTGAAAATAAGAAAATAAAATTAAATAATTGTTAAAAAATTTTTTAATTCAAATCTAGCTTTAAGCATTTACCACTAATTATGATAACATTTTTCAAACAAAAGGGCTTTTGTTAGAAAAGAATTTGTTTCTTTTTGTTATGATTAGTAAATTAAAATTTGGGGGTAGGGGTGCTGTGATAGGGCTGATATTACTAGTAGTTGACGCATGATCCAATGAGTTAAATAAATGTCCTACTTCAGCTTTGACTTTATAAACGCCTTCCACGACACGAGATACAAGGTTGAGGACGAACTGATTCTCGTCGGGGACCACTACGACTTCATCAGGAACTTCGACAACCTGATGAAGCCTTGCATCGTGCACAAGATCAAGGACCCCGCAGAGCTGAGGCGGGAGAGAAAGTTCACACAGGACAGCTACACCAAGCACGTCTTCATTCAGTTTGAGAAACCTTTTCTCTACAGCTCACTCTCCTGGCACAGTGATCAGTGCCAGAAAAATATCTCACAGGTGGGCCAAATAAATCATTTCCAATTTTCATTTCATTTGTTCTGCTTAATAATGACTTGATGTGGAACAGTTTTTCAATTCATTTATCTTGCTGCTAAATTATAAAGTCAATAATTCTCTTGTTTTCATTATTGTTGTTCGTAATAAAAAAAAATTAAGAAAAAGATTTAGCCCAAGAAAACAAATTAGCTGCAAATTTCATCTAGGAAATAATTATACTTAACATTTGTTTAGTATTTTTGCTTTCAAAGCGTAATTTCTGAGCAGCGTTATCTTAATCAAAACATTTCCAAGCTGAATTATCCCAATCAAAACATAATTTCTGATCAGATTTATCCCAATCAAACAATCTACGAGGAAGATTTCATCCCAATGTTAGCCAGAAAAAACCAGCACGATTCCCCCATCAATCAACAAAACTCTGGCTTCATGTACCAGCTTAACCAGAGAGACAGGGCTCCCTACATTAAATTTTACGTAGAACGTAAGTGCTGTCAAGCTTTTAGTCTTATGTGGAATGTAAGGTGTTTTCTGTCAATGTTGAAGTTTAATTGGAACGCAAGTTTTGTTTAGTTTAAATATTATTGTACAAAAATTTACCAATGTTTCTGCCAAGCTAAATTAGCCTTTAAGAAATGCAAATGTTCCCGACCTGGTTTGACCTGTTTTATATTTATCTGGCCACCCCAGGAGGGAAATCTGTGCTGCAACATCTTCAAGGAACGGTCATCAAAGGGAAGCTAATCCCGAGCAGTTTGTTTGGGAGAGTCTCATGGAACCATCAGATAGGGAAGTGGATGCTCGATATTTCAGGTACACCAAGATCTTCTACATTTTTTTTTAATCTTACAAACTGGTGGTCGGACTTGGGTGGTAACTCACAATAGAACTCATTTCAGTCTTTTATTTTTATGGTTATTTCCCCTGAACATTGTTAGACTTCCCATGACCTGACCCCCCATGACCTGAAACCCCCATGATCTGACCCCCCCCCCCCATGATCTAACCCCCCATTGTGTCCCCCACAGGCCACCAGGACGCCTACCCCACCATGACCTGACCCCAAATGATCCGACCCCCCCCCATGACCTGACCCCCCCATGACCTGACCCCCCATGACCTGACCCCCCCCCCATGACCTGACCCCCCCATGATCTGACCTACCATGGGCTGACCCCCCATGATCTGATACCCCCATGACCTGACCCCCCCATGACCTGACCCCCCCATGATCTGACCTACCATGGGCTGACCCCCCATGACCTGACCCCCCATGACCTGACCCCCCCATGATCTGACCTACCATGGGCTGACCCCCCATGATCTGATACCCCCATGACCTGACCCCCCATGACCTGACCCCCCATGCTCTAACCTCCCATTGTATCCCCCCACAGGCCAGCAGGACGCCTGCCCCACCATCCTGAGTCTGAAGATCTTCACCCAGCTGATGACGGGCTGTGCCGGTCACTTTGACCTACTCATCAACTGCCCACGTGACTTCTCTGTCCAGCTTAACTTCTCCACCGACCTGAGCGATCTGCCGGACATTTTTGTCGTGCAGGTCAACGACTCGTCCACCAGCCATAACCTGGTCCTCTCCTCCATCTACCCGCCCCTCCATGTTGACGAAATGGGCCAGGAGAACCCCTCACCCCCCAGCCAGGAGCTGACCTCAGTGGGGGGCGCCATCAAGACATACTCCACGTGGGCGCCCATCTGTTTCATCGTCCTGCTGACACTCATCGGCCTGCTCGTCATCTTCATCATCCACACCTGCATCAACGCTAGAGTGACAGGGAACCTGACCCCGGGCCGGGCCGACACAGAGACCCCCCAACAAGAGACCCCACTACAGGCCCAGGACGGGAAAATCAAGAACGCTAACTCCAGCTCACATTTCAAACACAAAAGAAACGTTCTGATTGGCTGTTTTATTTTCCTCTATGTGATCTACTGTGTGCTGTTTTCCTTCACCTTGACCTTCAGTGTGGTGTATTTCCCCATCTCCATGTACTGGTCAAACATGACCTCCCTGAACCAGCTGGGTCACGTGGTAGGGGCGCAGGTCGACCGTCTGCTGCATGACATCAGCAGGTTTGAACAGGACGAGAGGGCGCGGCTGTTCTCGCTGTACCAAAGACAGCGGACAGCCTGCACCGTCCATCTTGAACAGGAAAACAGACGGCTGTTGGACGACTACCAGCAGACGACAGCCAAACAAGTCCAGGCGATCTTTGTGGAGAATGGAACGTTGCACAACTTATCCAACGCCATCATCCAACAGAACGCGTCGGTGTACATGCAGCAGATTAACGAGTTTGTGGCGGACTGTAACAAAACAGTGGAGGCCATTGTTCAGAGATTCCAGGCCAAGTACTATCATTTCCTGAGCGACACGGTGCTCAACGATTGGCTCAAAGTCCCGCGCCAGATTTTCCTCTATCAGGAGGGGGAGGACGTGAACAAACAGTTCCTCTCATCCACCTGGGTCAAGCAGTTCGCTGTGTGGCTGGAGATTGATAAGGCTGAGGAGTTGTTGGCGGTGGCTGAAAATGTTTTCGGACGGTAATTTGTATTTTATCATTTTTTGATTAGTCTATCAAGTGCAGCCAGCTAACTGAATTAAAGTTTAAACAATGGCGGGGACCGGTTCAAACGAAAGGGAAGTAACCAATAAAATCTGCCTGAGTTCTAATACACAACAGAGTTAAATACCCTAGTCAACATTAAATTTTTCTTTTTCAAAACTTGCACATATCCAATAATTAAAGTATGCTAATTAAAAATAAATATTGCTACATGTTTAAGTAGATGATGAATAGTTTGTTTAGAAAAAATTAGCCAAAATATAGATGAGAAAAAAAACAATATACACGATTAATTAAAATAGGCTTGAAAAGTTGGTTCCAAATAGTTGTTACCAGAAAGCATATTTTTCAACCAAAATTTAAATTTTTTTAACATTTGATTAAAAAGTACAAAATAACTTTTAGTTTTATTAAGGCTAGAAATATTCAAACGAATAGTCATTAATAATATAACAGTAAATTAGCTAACACTTATTTATTTAGGATTAGTAGAGTCTGGGTGTTAGGGGATGTTATATTAAAGATAAATAAACTACTAAACTATACCTCATTGATCACTATTGAGAATTTTATCTTGAAAAACAATTGTGATTTTTTTAATTTTACTTTCCCTGGCCATTCCAGTTGATTATGTTTGAACTGATAATTAATTTTAAAAGGCTTTTCGATGGCTTAAATTAAATACAAAAACATGAAAATGAGGTTAATCTATGGCTCCCAAAAGGCCTTAATTTTTAAAAATGTAACTATAATTTTATTGTTTGCCAAATGTTCTTAAAGATTTTTTTGAAAATTTCAGTATGATTACATAGACTTTTCAAGCCTATTGTAAAAATGTAAAGTTATATTATTAGCAAAGTGTGATGTAAATCACTTATGCTAACTAAGCTCTAGTCACATGACCTCTCCAGTCACATGACCTAAGCTCCAGTCAGATGACCCCCACCAATGTTTACAGCTCACTGTAAAATAAAATTTAAAAAAAAATTGCATAGGATTTCTGTATGCTAGTCGATTACATGTAGGTCTAAATTAATTAATTGATGTTCATTAACCTATTTTGTTAACTCCCCCACTTTAGGATGTCCAGCATTGAGGCGCCCCGTGTGTCGGCCTTGAACTTGACCTTCCCCAGCGTGTACCCCCACGTGATGAGCCTGGAGCCAGCGTTTGACTACCACAACCACTCCTACACCTACATCGTCCAGCTGCCCATGACCAACCAAGAGATGCAACACTTCAACCTGACCCTGTCGCCCTCTGGCTCGGAGGTTTTAAACTTCAGAAAAAAACGTCACGTGGACGAGTTTGGTCTGAGTGGGAACTTGATGTCAAACCCTGACAGTCAGGAGTTTAGCCACACCAGCGCCAGGAGCACTGACGTCAGCCCGGGCAGCACGTGGGTGGATGACGACTTGGATCATTATGCCAGATATCTTTCTGACAATTTCCAGAGCAAGAAAAAAATTCGATCCAGGAAGATGAAAGACACTGAGGACGTAGGGGAACTGTTGTTTGAGGAGAAAGATACAACAAGGGAGGGAATTCAGAACGACGAGCGTGTCGAGAATCTTATTTTAGATCAGTCGTCAGACAGCTATAAACTAGACAGCCTGCCTGCTGACCCGGACAGCAGCAAGTCGCAGGACAGCAAGATCCCGTACATCTTGATTGGAATCTTCCTGACGCTGGACATCTTTCTCTGGCTGTACCGCTTCTCATGGTGTAGTGACCAGGTCTACGCCGCCAGACACGGCTACGCTGACCGCATCCCCACAGACGAAGCTTGCAAGCACTTCTTTGAGATCCAGACAGCGTACCACCTGCCCACTTTTGAGCACCCGCACGACGAGTCGTCCGGCTACTACGTGGACATCAAGGAGCAGTTGAACCCCGAGAAGGACTCGCCGGACATCACGTTCCTGCAGGACCTCCCTAAACACAAGGACAACAAGGACGACATTCTGCAGAAGATCTGGAATGAGAAGATGAACAAGTCCAAGGAGATGGGATGTCTGGCACAGTGCTGCCTGGTGCGGTGGTGCTACAGCGCCAAGAAGATTCTACAGAGATTGTTTTTGTCCAAGCTGGCGTGGCAGGTACATCACATTTTTTTAATATATTTTTTCAGATCAATATTTCACATTCAAAATTTGTATATTAATATATCCCTTTCTAAATCGTTTTATATTTTAATGTGACAAATTTATTTTAAATAAGATTCCTATGCCCCCTATCATCATGATACAGCCTATCTTTAGTATTTATGTCCTCAGTAGAGTGCTGTACCTCCATTAGAATAATCGAGCCTTAAGATGTATAAAACTTTTTTTTAACCCTTTCAGACAAAAAATAATTAAAATAATACTTTTTTTAACCCTTTAAGAAATTTTTTTTTTATATAAAACTATTTTTTAAAGCGAGAGTAATTTTCCTAGCTAATCAATGCAGCACTTCTTGTTCTATCTCCAGATATTCAACTATTGTTTTTCTATTGCAGGGGTCAATAACCTTCACTGCCATCCTGTTCATCTGTTTGTTCATCTACTGCGTTGAGTTCTGGCTGACCCCTGAGACTTTCAGAACCCTGGTGGGGGGTCACTCTGCTGCAGCAGACGTCATGTGGCACCTAGAGTCCAGTTCTCACTACCTTCAGACCCTCGCCCAACAGCTGACCTTGGAGCTGGAGAGGGTCAAGGACATGTGTGACCACGAGGTCAACACACTAACAGACATTTTTTTTGCCACAGTTAACATGCAGGTAATCAGATTTATTTCAGGTCCAAAACTTTCAGGTCCAAAACTTTCAGGTCCAAAACTTTCAGGTCCAAAACTTTCTGGTCCAAAACTTTCTGGTCCAAAACTTTCTGGGCCTAAACTTTCTGGGCCTAAACTTTCTGGGCCTAAACTTTCTGGTCCTACACTTTCTGGTTTAGAACTCAAGCTGCAGTCCATCCCACATTTGTGTTGGCATTAAAAAAGTTTATGTTGCTTACATGATTGGCTGTGAAATGTGTACATAACATAACAAAATTGACATGGAAGTAAAATAAAACAGTTGTACAGTTCTCCTGATCACAGTTATCAGAATGTGTGGGGAAATTGTTGCCAGATAAAAATCTAGCTAAGGCGATCTAATAAAATAAATTATCAAGGGAGAACTGGCTTAACCAGAGTTTCTTCCAGGCATCTCTTCAAGGGGGGGGGAGGGATCAGAGACCCCCCCCCCCCCAAAGTAAGTCTACTGCCCCCCCCCCCCCCTCCCCCCCCTCCCCGTATGAAATGAAATTTATATAGAAAATATATACTTTTAACCATATATGCCCCCCCCCCCGAAGAAAGTCTAAAGCCCCCCCCCCTCCGAAAATTTCAAGTGCCCCCCCCCCCCGAGAAAAAAGTCTGGAAGAAACACTGGGCTTAATCAATACTATTATTAAAAAGCAGTACAATTTAAGATACATTTTTCTAAATTATGCTTTAAGTACATTTGACATCATGCCATGTGTGTACATTTACTTCCCCCGCCCCCACAGACCTCCATGTTTACCACGACACTCCAAAGGTTGTGTTATGAAGCAAGGAAAGACAACTGTGACAAGCTAACTGTGTATCAGTCAACAGGGGGGAGAATTGTTGGCTGCAACTTCCTTCCCTTGCAGGCCCAGACCTACCATGGTAAGTAAAACTTGGGTCTACCACACCCACACAAAACCCACACCACCCAGTCCAGCAACCCACCCCACCCCCCCACCCAGTCCCACGTCCCAACCCACCCCACCCCACCCAGTCCCACAACCCACCCCACCCCACCCAGTCCCACAACCCACCCCACCCCACCCAGTCCCACAACCCACCCCACCCCACCCAGTCCCACATCCCACCCCACCCACCTCCACCCCATCCAGTCCCACAACCCACTGTCCCACACCCCCACATCCCACCCCGCCCAGTCTCACAACCCCCACCCCACCCAGTCCCACCCCACCCAGTCCCACTCCACCCAGTCCCACCCCACCCAGTCCCACCCCACCCAGTCCCACAATCCACCCCACACTCCCACCCCACCCAGTCCCACATCCCACCGTCCCACAACTCACCCCACCCCACCCACCTTCCCCACCCCACCGTGTCCCACAACCCACCCTCCACCCAATCCCACAACCCACCCTCCACCCAATCCCACAACCCACCCTCCCAATCCCACAACCCACCCTCCCAATCCCACAACCCACCCTCCCAATCCCACAACCCACCCTCCCAATCCCACAACCCACCCCCCCACCCACCCCCACAGCCCACCCCGTCCCCCACCCCACCCCGTCCCACAGCCCACCCCGTCCCACAACCCACCCACCCCCTCCCGACCCAGTCCCACAACCCACCCAGTCCCACAACCCACCCAGTCCCACAACCCACCCAGTCCCACAATCCACCCCACCCCACAACCCACCCCCTACCCCCCCAATCCCACAACCCCCCCCCCCCACCCAATCCCACAACCCCCCCCCCACCCAATCCCACAACCCCCCCCACCCAATCCCACAACCCCCCCCCCACCCAATCCCACAACCCCCCCCCCCACCCAATCCCACAACCCCCCCCCCACCCAATCCCACAACCCCCCCCCCCACCCAATCCCACAACCCCCCCCCCACCCAATCCCACAACCCCCCCCCCACCCAATCCCACAACCCCCCCCCACCCAATCCCACAACCCCCCCCCCCCCCCACCCAATCCCACAACCCCCCCCCCCCCCACCCAATCCCACAACCCCCCCCCCCCACCCAATCCCACAACCCCCCCCCCCACCCAATCCCACAACCCCCCCCCACCCAATCCCACAACCCCCCCCCCCCACCCAATCCCACAACCCCCCCCCCACCCAATCCCACAACCCCCCCCACCCAATCCCACAACCCCCCCCCACCCAATCCCACAACCCCCCCCCCACCCAATCCCACAACCCCCCCCACCCAATCCCACCCAATCCCACAACCCCCCCACCCAATCCCACAACCCCCCACCCAATCCAAACCTACAACCCCCCCACCCAATCCCACAACCCCCCCCACCCAATCCCACAACCCCCCCACCCAATCCTACAACCCCCCCACCCAATCCCACAACCCCCCCCACCCAATCCCACAACCCCCCCACCCAATCCCACAACCCCCCCCCCCCCCCACCCAATCCCACAACCCCCCCCCCCACCCAATCCCACAACCCCCCCCCACCCAATCCCACAACCCCCCCCCCCCACCCAATCCCACAACCCCCCCCCCCCACCCAATCCCACAACCCCCCCCCCACCCAATCCCACAACCCCCCCCCCCCCCCACCCAATCCCACAACCCCCCCACCCAATCCCACAACCCCCCCCACCCAATCCCACAACCCCCCCACCCAATCCCACAACCCCCCCCACCCAATCCCACAACCCCCCCACCCAATCCCACAACCCCCCCCACCCAATCCCACAACCCCCCCACCCAATCCCACAACCCCCCCCACCCAATCCCACAACCCCCCCCCCACCCAATCCCACAACCCCCCCCCCCACCCAATCCCACAACCCCCCCCCCCACCCAATCCCACAACCCCCCCCCCCCCCCCACCCAATCCCACAACCCCCCCCCCCCCACCCAATCCCACAACCCCCCCCCCCCACCCAATCCCACAACCCCCCCCCCCCCACCCAATCCCACAACCCCCCCCCCCCCACCCAATCCCACAACCCCCCCCCCCACCCAATCCCACAACCCCCCCCCCCCCACCCAATCCCACAACCCCCCCCCCCCCACCCAATCCCACAACCCCCCCCCCCACCCAATCCCACAACCCCCCCCCCACCCAATCCCACAACCCCCCCCCCCCACCCAATCCCACAACCCCCCCCACCCAATCCCACAACCCCCCCCCACCCAATCCCACAACCCCCCCCCCACCCAATCCCACAACCCCCCCCCCCACCCAATCCCACAACCCCCCCCCACCCAATCCCACAACCCCCCCCCCCACCCAATCCCACAACCCCCCCCCCCCACCCAATCCCACAACCCCCACCCCCACCCAGTCCCACAACCCACCCACCCCCACCCAGTCCCACAACCCACCCCCCACCCCACCCAGTCCCACAACCCACCCCCCCCCCCCACCCCACAACCCCCACCCCACCCAACCCACCCAGTCCCACAATCCACCCCACACCCCCACCCAGTCCCACAATCCACCCCACACCCCCACCCAGTCCCACAACCCACCCTCCCAATCCCACAACCCACCCAATCCCACAACCCCCCCCCCCCCCACCCAATCCCACAACCCCCCCCCCACCCAATCCCACAACCCCCCCCCACCCAATCCCACAACCCCCCCCCACCCAATCCCACAACCCCCCCCCCCCCACCCAATCCCACAACCCCCCCCCCACACATTCCCACAACCCCCCCCCCACCCAATCCCACAACCCCCCCCACCCAATCCCACAACCCCCCCCCCCCACCCAATCCCACAACCCCCCCCCCCCACCCAATCCCACAACCCCCCCCCCACCCAATCCCACAACCCCCCCACCCAATCCCACAACCCACCCTGTCCCACAGCCCACCCCGTCCCACAGCCCACCCTGTCCCACAGCCCACCCCGTCCCACAGCCCACCCGTCCCACAGCCCACCCCGTCCCACAACCCACCCACCCCCACCCCACCCAGTCCCACAACCCACCCCCCACCCCACCCAGTCCCACAACCCACCCCCCCCCACCCCACAACCCCCACCCCACCCAACCCACCCAGTCCCACAATCCACCCCACACCCCCACCCAGTCCCACAACCCACCCTCCCAATCCCACAACCCACCCAATCCCACAACCCACCCTCCCACATCCCATCCCACCCAGTCCCACCCAGTCCCACCCAGTCCCACAACCCACCCACCCCCACCCAGTCCCACAACCCACCGTCCCACAACCCACCCCCACAACCCACCCTCCCAGTCCCACAACCCACCCCCTCACCCAGTCCCACACCCCCACCCCACAACCCACCCACCCCCACCCCGTCCCACATCCCACCCCGTCCCACAACCCACCCCACCCAGTCCCACATTACAACCCACCGTCCCACAACTCACCCCACCCCACAACCCACCTTCCCCACCCCACCTTCCCCACCCCACAACCCACCCGCCACCCAGTCCCATAACCCACCCCCACCCCCCCCCCCACCCAGTCCCACAACCCACCCCCAACCCCCCTCCCCCCACACACAATCCCACAACCCACCCTCCCAATCCCACAACCCACCCACCCAATCCCACAACCCACCCCCACAACCCCCCCAGTCCCACAATCCACCCCACACCCCCCAGTCCCACATCCCACCGTCCCACAACTCACCCCACCCCACCCACCTTCCCCACCCCACATAGTCCCACAACCCACCTCTTTCAAACTTTCTACTCACGTCTTATAAAATTTTAACTTACCCTCTTTTAAAATGCTCTTCAAATAAAATGTGCACTTCCCTGTCTCAAACTTTCCCTGTTAAAATCTTACAACTCCCCTTCCAGATGTGAGCCTGAGTAGCCTGGATGCTGCTATCATGGAGAAGGTGGCACCGCTGCTGGAGCTGGTCCAGTGGATGCTGGTACTGTCCACCTCTGTGGTAGTGACCATCCTCTGCCTGCGGCTCCTGTGTCAGGCAGTGACCTCAACAGTGAGGAACTACCTCCTGCTAGCCGGCCACCTGCCCAGGGTACGCGTGTACCAGTCAGAAGAACAGCACCTGGCAGCCACGCAGGTCAACACCACCATGCAGCGCAGCCAGTCCTGGGTAGAGAGCTGTGAGAGCGGGGTCTACCTGGGGGAAACAGAAGACACAAACAAAGAGGAATCCAGATAGCAATGGCACCGCTTCCTCCTCAAACTCGGCACCAAAGATTTGTTTTCAATTTTCATGCGCTGGAACTTCCCCCTTCCCCCTAGACTAACCGCAACTGCTTGTAAAGTTTGTTACTTGGTATTGTCACGTTTTCTGGCTTAACCATTATCCCAGCTAGATTAGCCCTTTATCCTAGCTAGATTAGCCCTTTATCCCAGCTAGATTAGCCCTTTATCCCAGCTAGATTAGCCCTTCCAAGATGAACCGTTCAGATGGCCGACAGATTAATTTTGTGATTTATTACCTGGAAATGCTGTAAATAAAAACTGGACAATGGTTATGCAGCTGCTGTCTGCCAGTGATTTAGTCCGCACCTATTTTGTTAGTCTTTGTTGATGTAACTACATGTACCGGTATAACAATTCCATAATAAAAGTGTATCATTGCAATATGTACATTGACTTGACCTTGTCAAAGCCCAACCTTTTTTATACTGCTTAGTCTACATCACTTTCTGTACAGCTTTGCTATTTTAGAGTTTGGATACAACTCTGTATATACATTAGTCACACGCTTGTTTATTTAAAAACCTTTGATATATTTCTATTCGCAGATATAAGCGAGTATTTTGTCAATTAGTAGTTCAGTTATCAACTATCTGTTTTCTTTAGCAGCTAAGTGGGATTTGGGGAGGTGGGATTACTTAATCAAACTTTCTAATTTAAATAAAACTGCTACAGTTTATTTACTTGTCAAGTAATGAAGGCAAAAATATGAAATTATTTTACAAGTTGAGATCAACTGTACCTGTGGCCCTTACCTCAGTTTGTTGAGGTGTATCAACTCTACATGTGGCCATTACCTTAGTTTGTTGAGGTGTATCAACTGTACATGCGGCCATTACCTCAGTTTGTTGAGGTGTATTCTGGTTTTGACTAGAGTTGAATAGATATGCGGAGGTCAATTCATTTGTTTAGCCCAATGCCGGACCAATATGGCGGGTGTATTAAGGTGAGGCTTGCTGAAATTAATCTTGACCTGGTAACAAGAATGCACTGAAAGAACGTTTCAGGATTATTTTTTTAGTTTTAGAATTTTATACAAGTCTTATAGATTACAATAGATTTTTTAAAATTGCATTGACAATCATATATAATTTCATACTTGTTTGTGTAAATATGTAATTATCAATATTGTTAATTGAGCATTCAGTTTGTTAATTACTTAATGTTTTTTGACATAAAATGGGTGTCAATGCTGCTAAATACTTGGGGCACAAACTCAGCTGTTCTTTACTTGACCAACTGAGGAAAAGCTGCTAGATTAGCTTGAGGGGGGATCACTCTAATGCAGTGTAAATAAAAGCACAAGACAAGCAGTAGCTTTCAGTCCAAGGTTCTGTTTTGTTAGATTCAAACATTCCTGACTTCATTTTCTTCAGCTAAGGAACCTAACCTAACACTTTTTCTCAAAACTTGGTGTTAAGAAAAGCTTGAAAATTAAATATCAAGTAAATTCTATACAATAAGGATTTAGTTTTATTTTTAAAACAGTTTTATTTGTAATACATATTTTAAACATTGGAATTAAAAATGAACTTATGTATGGTATTTTATTAGCCAACTTTCAAAACTATAAGAGCAAATATCTAAGCTAACACATTTTAAGTCATCTAAAACAATACTCATCACTAGACTGTACAAAATTCATTTTCAATATTTCATTTATTTGATTTATATATGTATATCCATGTTTTCTTTACTTTTTAATATAAATATACATTAATCTTCATTCTTCACTGCCACCTGAAACTATTGTTATGCCTTTTTGTTAAATAAATAATCTAATCCGTGTTAAAATAATCTAATCCATGTTAATTCTGTTTTTTTTGTTGGTGTATATACATTACCGAAATCATCCCCTTATTTGAGGGGCGCTGGTTGATAGGGTGTAAATATTTCTATTGGCTGATGCTCTGCTCTTGATCGTTAAACTTAACTGGGTCCAGATATTTATATATATATTTATAGTTAGATGTTCACTGTGCTAAAGATTCAGTACATTTTCACTTGATCCATTGGATCAATTTTAAATATATAATTTTTTTTTTCATATCTAACAGCCATTTTAAGTAGATAAAATCTAATATGAATCATCCAATAGGTTCAAAAGATAATTGTTTTATTTTCACTAGTTCATAGTTTATTTGTTTTTGTTTACTATCACATCTCCTAACAAACCAGACTTGCTAATGTAACAATAGTACAATAGTTGTAATGGTGATTTTTAAATTTTTTATTTTTGTATTGATTGACTGGATAGAAAGTATGGAACTCAATTTTTACTACAACTACAACCATTAATTATTACCACCACTACAGCCATTACCGTTATGAAGTAATTAAGTAAAATCATAAGCTACTATTTTTCAGTTAGCTTTTGTTTTTTTCTTACATTGATTTTATACTTGATGCAAGAAAATAAAATCTAAAAGCTTGAAGTAGAACTTTGGACAGATAGATCCATACTACTAGATCTATCAAGGATCATTATACTCTCCAGTTTCTGTTGTTTTTTTACTTCCAATATCAAATATAAAAATAGAAATTTTTAAACTGCTAGTGAGAGATGGATGACAGCATTTGGTTGTAAAGGGGGATGACTCGAAATTAACGTCTGCTAATTGATGTTGTATATGTTGTTGAAATTATTTGTATTGAAATAAACTTTATTTTATGCCTACATGAAAATGTGCTTGTTATTTTAAATTAAACTTAACGTGAGGGGGTGACGCAATTCTTGATATCAGAGGCTTGGTGGGGGGGGGGGGCGTTCGGTAAATTCGAGGGTGTTTAAAAAAGCACCACAGAAAATTTCTATAAAGGGGTAGACTATAATCAACGACACGCTCATTGCGGAGGGGGTGGTTCGGACTTTGATGATGACGTGTGAAGGGTGGGGGGTTGGGTATTGTGAGACCTCCCACTTTTGCATTTAAAAAAATTATTTTAAAAAAAAATAATTTTAATACCTATGTAGCATTTTTAAACGAAAATGTTGTAAAATATAGTAATTGAGCCCAATTTCAATAGCAAACTGAAATGATAATAGATCAACGCAATTTACATATACACAAAGATCAACTAGCAATGTTTTCGACCAATTCAAACTTTTTTTTAACCTTAATGTTTTCATGTAAGGGAAGCAACTCAATTTTTAAATGTCCGGTTTCAGTAAATAAATCTGCAATTGATTTAATTTATTTGTGGATGTCGCTAAGTTTAAATGATGATGTGTGACTACGCCAAACAACAAGCGTGCAGAGGTGTAGCCAGGGGAGGGAGAGTGGGGCGCCGACCCTGTGGGGTCGCCTACTAGGGAAGTGAAAAAAAAACTTATTGTGAGCTGCATTACTGAGTTATAAGTTAGTCAAAGTTAAGATAAATAGACTGCTACTTGTCTTAACGGACTGATTTAACAGTTTTTCTACATAAATTTTGTGACGCCAAAATAAAAACATTTCTTGTTCATGTACTGGTAAAACCCAACTTGAAAACGATCTATAGAGGCGTAGCGAGGGCGGGGGTGATAATAGCACCGGGTGACACCGTTTAGGAGGGGGGGTTACACCAATGCAAAGAAGCTTATACGCATACATTTACATATATTTAAATTATAGGACTATGTAGGTCGACAAAAAACACACACGGACACACAACTGACACACACACACATATATATGTAATATATAAAGCTCAATTATGTATGTAAAAATACGTTTGTTTGTTTGTCGTTGACATACTTCCATGGATTTAAGTGTTAGATAATTAAAGTCCTTATGGTCTAAATTTAAGAGTTAAAAAATTAATATTGAAAGTTTTGGGAAATAATTTTCATTTATCAAACTGAAAGTAATAATTTTCGGCATGTTCATCAAACACAAGTTTTAAAAAAAATATCATCTTTTACAAAAATTCTAATTATGTCTTTATTTAGTCCTATAGCACTTACTTCCCTTTGATAAATTAGGAAAACACAATCATTTCCCTTTATAAAACCATTTTATTAGTGGAAAAGAATTTACTTTTTATTACTTTGTTTTGGTGTTGGGGAAAAAAATAATTACATAATTAGCGGGGATTGATCAAGTGCAAATGTTGTAGGTATTTTACGGATAAGCTTGGAGTATTATAATTGTTCATTAAATTGAAAACAGTGGCGTTCGTTTAAGTGAGTGCAAAAGACTATGAATAAGTTGGGGTACTATAGTCGTTTTTAAGCTAAAACAGGCGATTCCGCCCCGGGCTAGACTGTGAGCACTTTGCGTTTATGTTCGCGTTAGTGTTTTCTTTGTGTTTAGGTTGGATTTGCGTTAGTGGTTGCGGTTTGATTTGGTTCGTTTTTGTTCTTTTGTTTCTCGTTTTTGTTTGTGTTTTTTTCTTTGTGTTTGTATTGGTGTTTTTGGTTGGTTTTGCGTTTGGATTTGGTTTGTTTTCGTTTGCTTTTTCGTTTGTTTTTTTGTGTTGTTATTGGTTGGTATTGGTGTTTGTGGTTGTGGTTGGGTTTGTTGTTAGGTTTTTGTTTTCGTTTGCTTTTTTGTTTGTTTTTTCTTTGTGTTTGTATTGGTGTTTGTGGTTGTGGTTGGGTTTGTTGTTAGGTTTTTGTGTTTCGTTTGTATTTGAAATTTTGTTAGCGTTATGTTTGCGTTTTGTTGTTTTGGTTTTGGTTGGTTGTGGTTTGGGTGAGCAATGCCGGGTTTATGATGATTACTAAACACACAGGTAATGGTCTTTAACAGAAAGGTTTTTCACAGAAGCCAGAGCAGGACCTGGCCGGACGGCTAGTATATATATATATATATATATATATATATATATATATATATATATATATATATATATATATATATATATATATATATATATATATATATATATATATATAGAGAGGAGAGAGAGAAGAGAGAGAGAGAGAGGAGAGAGAGCAAAGTTGATATAAGTCGCTACACAATCAATTAACAAAGATAATTAAGCAAAGCTTTTTCAACAAAACCATCCAATATATGTATATATAT